TATACTATGACGTTTTTTGACATTTTTATGCCTTACTATACTATGACATGGCTTAATATACTAATATGTTTTTTTGACATTTTATGCCATACTATACTATGACGTTTTTTGACATTTTTATGCCTTACTATACTATGACATGGCTTAATATACTAATATGTTTTTTTGACATTTTATGCCATACTATACTATGACGTTTTTTGACATTTTTATGCCTTACTATACTATGACATGGCTTAATATACTAATATGTTTTTTTGACATTTTATGCCATACTATACTATGACGTTTTTTGACATTTTTATGCCTTACTATACTATGACATGGCTTAATATACTAATATGTTTTTTTGACATTTTATGCCATACTATACTATGACGTTTTTTGACATTTTTATGCCTTACTATACTATGACATGGCTTAATATACTAATATGTTTTTTTGACATTTTATGCCATACTATACTATGACGTTTTTTGACATTTTTATGCCTTACTATACTATGACATGGCTTAATATACTAATATGTTTTTTTGACATTTTATGCCATACTATACTATGACGTTTTTTGACATTTTTATGCCTTACTATACTATGACATGGCTTAATATACTAATATGTTTTTTTGACATTTTATGCCATACTATACTATGACGTTTTTTGACATTTTTATGCCTTACTATACTATGACATGGCTTAATATACTAATATGTTTTTTTGACATTTTATGCCATACTATACTATGACGTTTTTTGACATTTTTATGCCTTACTATACTATGACATGGCTTAATATACTAATATGTTTTTTTGACATTTTATGCCATACTATACTATGACGTTTTTTGACATTTTTATGCCTTACTATACTATGACATGGCTTAATATACTAATATGTTTTTTTGACATTTTATGCCATACTATACTATGACGTTTTTTGACATTTTTATGCCTTACTATACTATGACATGGCTTAATATACTAATATGTTTTTTTGACATTTTATGCCATACTATACTATGACGTTTTTTGACATTTTTATGCCTTACTATACTATGACATGGCTTAATATACTAATATGTTTTTTTGACATTTTATGCCATACTATACTATGACGTTTTTTGACATTTTTATGCCTTACTATACTATGACATGGCTTAATATACTAATATGTTTTTTTGACATTTTATGCCATACTATACTATGACGTTTTTTGACATTTTTATGCCTTACTATACTATGACATGGCTTAATATACTAATATGTTTTTTTGACATTTTATGCCATACTATACTATGACGTTTTTTGACATTTTTATGCCTTACTATACTATGACATGGCTTAATATACTAATATGTTTTTTTGACATTTTATGCCATACTATACTATGACGTTTTTTGACATTTTTATGCCTTACTATACTATGACATGGCTTAATATACTAATATGTTTTTTTGACATTTTATGCCATACTATACTATGACGTTTTTTGACATTTTTATGCCTTACTATACTATGACATGGCTTAATATACTAATATGTTTTTTTGACATTTTATGCCATACTATACTATGACGTTTTTTGACATTTTTATGCCTTACTATACTATGACATGGCTTAATATACTAATATGTTTTTTTGACATTTTATGCCATACTATACTATGACGTTTTTTGACATTTTTATGCCTTACTATACTATGACATGGCTTAATATACTAATATGTTTTTTTGACATTTTATGCCATACTATACTATGACGTTTTTTGACATTTTTATGCCTTACTATATTATGACTTTTTTATGCATTTTTTTGTCTCACTATACTATGATGTTTTAATGCAATTTTAAGCCTCACTATATTATGTTGTTTCCTGCCTGACTATACTATGACTTTTTTTGATAATTTTATGCCTTACTATACTATGATGTTTTTTGGCATTTTCATACCTTACTATACCATGTAATTTTCATACCTTACTCCTGCGAGAGTCCAGGGGTTGAGGGAGGTAACGATAATAAAATAAAACAGAAAACTAACAGCAAACCAGATTCAGCCAAACAAATTTTTATTCATTAATGAAAAAGAAACCACAACGCAGTGTGACAGTAAACCACTACTTAACCACTAAACTAAAATAAACCAAAATAACGATAATCACTTTAGCTCCACTCAGCTATCTTAAGACAATGATACAACAGCTCAACTGCTGCCGAATGGCTCTCTGGCGCTGGCCAAGTATCCCTTCTCCGCCTTTATACTCTGGCTCTTTGGGAACAGTTATCAATCGTGCAGAATCACCTGTAGGAGAAAAGGTTAGGACAGAGGGCAGACCAGCACATACACACACACACAAAACATAATTCTACAGCACACAAGACTTATTATACTATGACTTCTTATGCCTTACTATACTATGTCATTTTTATGCCTTACAATACTGACTTTTAATGCCTTACCATACTGTGACTTTATGACTTACTATCCTATTACTTTTTTATGCCTTACTTATTTGTCCCTATATCAAGAGTGATGTTACCATATGTCATGTCCATGAAGAGACGTTAAGTTATGTCTAGTTTTGTCTGTCTCGTTACTTCTTGTTTTATTTTGAAAACCTAACTCTCCTCTCGTTTCAGGTAACTTCCTCCTTCCCTTGTGTGTTTCCCATTGGTCTGATTGTCTGCCCCGCCCTGATTGTTTCCACCTGTTTCCCATTACCTTGTGTGTGTCTATAGTCTGCGTTTCCCTTTGTCCTGTGCCAGTTCGTCTTGTCTTGTTGCCAGAGAACCACACCAGCCACGTTGTCCCATGCCAGGTTTTGAATTCACTATTACGTTTTGCCACAGTCTTGCTGTACATTAATTTGATAATTTGTCTTTTCTTGTGTCCTGAATTTTTTGTTGGTTTTCCTCGAAAGAGCTATTTTTATTTGGATACTTTGAATATATATTCCTCTGTTAGAGTGATTTTCCGTTGCTACTTTGTTATTAAAATATTGTTGATTGGTACTTTGTCTTGGAGTCGTGCATTTGGGTTCAAGTCTTAGGTCAGTTGTGACACCATATGTGTCATGTATAAGAGGATATATTATTATGACATCAATAAATCTTCTGGATGTATCTTCTATATGAAGATATAAGTTCATAACATATATGAAATACTCATTAAAATGTAACTGTATTAAAACAAAATGCCTAAAATTGTATATATTTGTATATGATTTTCTTAATAATTTCTTATTAAGGTTAACCATATATTTCTATCTTTTATATTTACGTATATAATGAACATATACTGGCAGGCTTTGGGATAGATATATATCTATGTAGGCCTAACATGTCTATAACATAAACCTATAACATAAACAGACATACTAAAATACATGATTCCATTAGCTAGACATATATGTCAATATATGATATTGTTCCAGTTTCACATGTAATTTTTACATAGGCTATACAGGTTATATTGTATATACACATATGATTTTACTTCATATGTACATGTTTTTATATGGAAATTCAACACATGTACATATATTACATTTGTGTATGGGCATTCCTGAATGTAAATTGAGATCTAATATGTTAATAAACCGTTTGGTTGACGTTATTATACATTAAAAAGTCAATCTCTTTGTTTTGGAGGGTTGGCGGGGGTGTTGCGTCCCTACCAATGTTGAGACCAAACCTAAGCCCTTGGCCAAATCAAATTCTGCTTAGGGCCCCATAGAGGTTTGGGCCGGCTCTGTAGAAGTATAAAGTAGCAGAAAATGAAAATTCTTAATCAAAATAGACCCCTCCTTATATCGTGCTCAAGTACAGCGCCTGGGGGATGAGTTACTTTCCACCACTGTCACGCTTTTCACTTGGAATTTTTTCGGGATTTCGTTCCTGCCTTATCTTGCGTGTGAACAGAGCAGAGCAGTCATAAAACCACCGCCCACTCGTGCTAGGCAGAGGAAAAAACAAACCCATCCTCCTCTACACTGACGTTACCACACGCACTGACTGGACCTAAGTGCGTGACCCACACGCAGATGAGACAGATGTCAAAGAGAATGGACGGACGCTGTTAACTGCCTGACACGTGCTGAATCAAATAACAAGAATCCTTTGAATTTAATACCACAAGTGAGTGACTGACCTACATATAGACTGGTGGCCGGTCCCCTTGGTGGGCCTAGATTTATCTGCCCTTTAATTTACCGCTGCAGCCCTGACTGCAGTTTAATTTCATTATGATTAATTCACCATCAGTTATTCCAGTCAGATAAAGTGGGCTCACTTCTAGCTCATCACATTGTCTAGTAATGACAACACAAACACAAACTGTTGCACATGGCAGCAACGTTTCTGCCGTTTAACTGTGTTGCTGATGTAGCCTAATATCATGATATATTACTACTTTAGAAGCGCTCACATTTCATAGATTTACATGCACAAAAAACCCAATTCGAAGAATAATAAGATAATAACTATCGCACAAGCTGCTGGCGCAGTCACTATTAATGAAATCTTGTCCTGTGATTCGGGACTGAAAGGAGGTATTGTAGATCAGTTGCACGTGGTCGATGCCAGGGACTATTTATTTAGGCTATTTATTTATTGATTCCACTGACTGACTGCAGATAAGTGGCTGCTATTTCCCATCTGATGCTGCTGCTGACAGGACCAGATGCACGGTCTACGTTTTCATCCACAATCGCGTTTATGTTTATCAAAAACTTGCTTTTCCTAAATGTAGGTCTATAGCAAAGTTACATCACATTATGAGTTTACTTTTTTCCCCCGTGGTTGCTTTCGCTCAAAATATGACACAAACATGTTGACTTCCCTTTTTTCTAATTTTTCTTTTTCTTTGTTCAACCAATAGCTGCTGGAAGAACAACGAGGAAATTACGTATGACGTTTTAGTTTTCTTTTTGCTCCTGAAGGGGGAGGGAATCCCCCGAGAATGCATATAAATTCAGGACATAAGAAGGCAGCAAGCAACAGTCCTGCTTCACCCGGCTCGACCAAAGATCACTGTCTGATAAGAAAGATGGCAAACTTTAATTTGTGTAAGTCAGACAGGCCGCAGTACAGACTGCATTGCTTTTGCTTTACATACACATTGTACACGGCTATATTGTGTTTTGTCATGCAAGATGAACATGTGAGGGATTGTGTGTGTGTTGATGGTTATTATTCTTTTTGCCATGCAGACGTCGCCAGCTGTGTGCTGCTGCTGGCCTTGAGCTGGCGCACAGCCACGGGACACCCGCTGCCCGCTCTGCGCACAGAAGAGTGCGAACAGTGCTCACTGCTCTTCAAGAGCCTCCTGCTCAACATCACAGAGCTTCTCAAGGGTGTGAGTACAAATCACTGCAGCAGGTTTATCTTCTAATTCCGCATTTGATTTTACTTTTACTCTGTCAAACACACCTGTATTTTATTAATGATGAATTTCCCTTTGAATTACAGGATGTTTTGTGCTTTGGCATCACATCTGAAAAGGTAGTGGTGAGGAGTAAAGCTGATACATTACTGGCCTGCGCTCCCCCTCTGACTCAGGTTTGTTGATTTATCAGTGATATACATAATGAATTATCAAATTATTCTGAAGTAAATACCGACTCAATGCCAAATTTTGTATTATAAAGATAAACAGCTGTGTGTGTGTGCTCATGTTTAAAATATTTTCCCCCCACAGAACTCAAATTGCATGATGCAAAGAAATTCATCCTTCAGTGAGGTATTCTGTTGTTACTATTTCTTTTTAAATCTTTTTGGGATTGTTAGATGTAGCCTATGTTACACAAGAGTATAAATTAGAAACCCAATATCTATTTTGCTTAAAGGTTTATATTTGTTTACATTTTACACTATACACCTATTTTTAATGAAACAGTCAGATGATTGGATTTTTTTTCTTTGATGTCTTGACAGAGAGAATGTTTGAAGAACATCATGGAGGACTTGGCTTACTATGAAGCTGCTATTAAATCCTACCTGAAGTCCCAACTCAGAAGTCCTGCTGAAGAAGAAGCACGTCTGAGCCCAACTCTGACAATAATAGAGAGTCTGAAGGTGTGTTTATTATGCATATGTGCAAAGGGCAAAAAAAAAACGAGAGCGACAGAGTCAAGATTTAAAGACAGAAATAGAGAATCTCTTGGGAAATAACATTTGAAAGTTGCATGACGAAATCTTCCTTGGTTTATACAGAACTGCTCCCGGATGCAGAATGAAAACAACTCTTCAGAGGTATTTTTCTATTCCTTCTTTTTTGTTTATTCCCTGTTTTGTCCTCATCTTTCAGTCTTTAAGAGGAAAATTTTTACATAAAAACTTTCTAATCCTTGTAAAGACATTTCACAGAGGGAACTTTGGTGTTTTTTTGTGAGTGTGTGCGAAACCGGCAGGTGATTATGGTGTGTTAATGTTGCGTACTACTGTGTCATCTTTTAGGTTACTGCACAGATGTGGGGAAGTGACACCTACTCTAACAGAGAGCAGATGTGTAAGATGATGAGAGGTTTCCATGTCCGAGCCATCACCATCAACCGAGCTATGGGCTACATCTCTTCTGGAGACCACAGGAAGTAAACATCCTGCATCATCATCATCATCATCACCATCACTCCAATTAATACCACCCTATCTCTGCTCCTTGAAATTTTCACAACTTAACAAGCCATCTAGATCATTCACTACCATCACTTGTACTCACAACTACTGTCCAAGTAGTTCTTTACACTGCACATGCTGTACAACTGTCTGCATGATTACTGCTCAGGCATAAGCTAGCTGGCTCCATTCCAGACTCTTAACTCAGTAAGAGTTGAATGGCAGTCAAACTATTGCTAAGGTTAGCAGTGGAGGCCATGTTGGCCTATTTACATGTATGAATGTATTCCAGTATTTGGGGGAATGTATTTATTTATTTAAGATATATTTATTACATTTATTTATTTGGTGGCATGTGATGTTATTTATTGTTATTTATAATAAAGTATTTTTGGTTAGCAAGAACTGAGGTGGAAATGGTTTTTAATGAAAGTGGAACTAATTACTCTTTCTTTCAGGTAACACTGTTCAAAAAAAATGAAGAAAAACACAACATCCAGGAGACCTATTCTTTTATTCAGTCAACATTTGCTTCTTTATTCCAGAAGTCTTTCCATGGACTCAGACCTGATACAAACAAGTGCAAAAAAGACTGACAGGATTGCTTGAAGTAAATTGTTTAAGGAAGAAATGTTCTCTGAATGTAAACATTACTGCATCATATCGGCATGGAAGACCCTAAAGGCTTAAACATTATAGATGCCGTTTCTGCAGCGTTTCCAAAATAATGATGACATGTTACAAATACAAATACATTGTAGGGATGTTGAGAATATTTAACTGAAAAGTCTACAGCTATGTCTTGAAAAGGTAACTAAAAATATAGGAATGATGCATGCCTGTAGTTAAACTCATGCAGGTAGAAAACATAAATTCAGCCCAGAATCCACATGAGTGTTTTCTACAAAATTTATACCATGGAACCACAATTTGCATTCCAGTCTCATGAGGGCAGGAACAGGTTCATGATTCAAGTTCAACATAATAATACACCTCTTGTAACTCCATTATGTTTTACAGGTTCAGATTTTCTAAAAAAAAAAAAAAAACCCAAACAGACATAAACAAACAAAACACATTTAAAAAAATAAATTGCAGGTTTGAAAAATCTGCTAATAAAAAAAATAAAAAGATATGTACAGGACGTAGTGTGCATAAATATAAAAACATATGACACACAAAATGGTTCAGTAATTCAGTCCGCAATGCGTTGGACAGTCACATGCATGTGATGTAATGCCTAATTATTTTATAAAAAATCCCATTTAAAAGTGAAACAAGATACACAGGTTGGATTTTTCCTGATTCTTGCAGTTTCAACACTGCAGCACCTACATTTACATGTGTTACTGGCTACATAATTAGCTACTCAATATCTCAACGACCTCTACACCTCTACATCTGCTGGTCATTTCAGAACCTGATGATGCTAAGCATCAAATTCTGCCTACACAATGGTACCTTCAGGTACAGCTTGTCTATTCTGTATTCATTACAGAATAAAAGGACCACATTTGAACAAAATGCCCATCCAGAAATAGGACACTGGTCCTTTTCATGAAATGCAGAAATACAAAAACTCATCAATTAGTTTCACGTCCAGAAAATATTCAAAAGAGAAACACAAACTGAAGGAAGAGATAATGTTTGGTCCAAAGGTCAACTCGGTTTTGTTGTATTCCTGAGATCTTTTTTCTTCCTGATGCTGGAAGAACAGATATCCAACGATCCATTTAGGTCAAATCCCTTTCATTTAGCTGCTTGATTGTTTATCATATCTGAAAATAGACAAACAATACTGTTTTAATATATCTGCTTTATACTTTTTTCAAAATAAATACAAGTGCCAGTCACAGGTTACCAGTTGATCCAGCTGACTCTACACCATGTACACCACAGTCCTGCATGGCTGTCTCCCAGAATTTGAACATTTCAATCACAGATCTTCTCTTGTTACATAAATTGTATATTGCGGGAATACTATTGATTGAAACAGTAATCTCATTTACATATCCTTTGGCCACCAGTGCATGTTTAATGTCAGCTTGGGCTTGAAACTGACTAAAAGGTGTGGGACTATTGAGTTACATTATGGGAAGCATAGGATCCCGTGTTTTTAGAGCTAAAAGTCAGGATATCTCAGGCTCTGCTGGTTCAGTTATGACCATTTTTTAAAACTTTTTCACATATCCTCCAGCTTCATGGAAGTGCAGTACTGAATCTCTGGAGCACCCCTTTAATTAAGGAAACCTTTATCTGTGGGAATAAATCATGCTTTTCGTTGCCTTACAGCCATCTGATGCTGCCTCCCAGCTTATAGCTGATGATTTTGATAAAAATGACTTTGTACCATCTGGTGAGTTTCAACATTCTTCCAGTAACAAATCTGTTGAGTGAATTTGATGACTGAAATGTCCACGCAGGACTGTGATATACACTATCAAGTGTGTCTGTAGTTTATTACCTTGCAGTGTCTGTCGGACCTCATTTGGCAAGTCATCCAGCTCCTCCACACTTTTCCACAGGTGGCCTGCCGTGGCCTCTCCCGGCCGCCTTCTGCTCTTCCACTCCACCAGCATCTTCAGCTTCTGCATGGTCACATCTTTCTCAGATGCCTGGATGTCATCCAGGTCCCTGGAGTTCAAGTCTAGATAGATGGCCACCTGCTTCCACTCCTTCCCGAGTCGCTTGGCCACCTGCAGTAGCTGCTTCTCTGACATGTCCTGGACCTGAGTCATCACTGTCTTCATTCCATCTGGAAAAAAAACACAACAAACACGTTCTTTATTTCAGTATAATTTTAGAACAGACAGGTGCATCTGGAAATGTGGTCTGGTTTCTGTTGAATTGACCAGGGCAAAACAAAGTTGTGCCTGAAGTTCTTCTCAAGTCAGTGGTTAATAAATGACGCAGGAAGTTACCTGACTCATCCTGCCATCGAGGTCTTTTACAGGCCGTTTCGTCTTCTGAGGGGCTGCTGCTCCTCTGTCTGCCTATGAGAAAGACAGACATGATGTGGGTCAACCTGTAGCAGCTGAAAAGCACGCTGTGATGGAAAAATCTAATCTGATTAAAAACAAGAAAGAAGCTTACTGTTTGTCCTTTTCCTTGGCTTCTTTTCCGTGTTATCCACACAGTCACCTAAGAGAAGAGCAAAAGATGAACATCACCACTTTGTAATGGAAACAAACTAACAAAAACATGTGGAGCTCAGCAAACACTTTTGGTTAATTTGCAGATAAAAAGATGCATGTTTCCTGTTGCTGTCACAGACACGTATTAAAAAAAACTTTTCAGACAAATACAGGCTGATTTTTGACCTAAATGTTTCTTTACCTGCAATTCACCAAATGTGCTCAGCGTTAGACTAAATGAACTGGTACCTTCTCTGATGGTGGCAGACCATACAGTCTCCTCAGAGTCAATCTCTATAAGAGACAATTTAAAGGGAGGAGGCTGTTCAAAGAAAGCTTCAAAGTAGCCTTTCATCTTAGTCACTGCAAGGGTGAATTTCAAATCCTGTACAGAGACACATAAACACAATTAAACTGTGTGGTCACTGCATAAAAAAAAAAAAATCCAAACATATGATAACCCTGTAACACCTATCAGTCACAACATAATGTATATTTTTGTTTTTCCAAGTCGTAAGCTGTGATATAAATGATTTTACTGTGAGCAAATACACATACATATTTACAACTCAAACCTGAGGTTTGATGTCTCCCTCTGGCTCGCTCAGGAGACGATACGTCCCTTCATCCAGTTTACATGTGGGAGGCTTGTCAATCCGAATGTAACGATTCTTGTAGGCCCGCACTTGTTTGCATATATCCTAATTTACATAAGGACAGCAGGAGGACAAGATGAAACAGGAGATACGTCAGTTTCTTGTGTAAAGATGAGCAGGCTGGATGGTGATTAACATCCAATCAAAACACATTTTCCACAGTGTGAATGGAAAAACTGAAGGCGTCTTGTAAGAACAAACCACTTCAGCTCCAGTCAGACTTCTGAACAAAGCAGCATAATGCACTTAGTGATTAAAAAACACATCAGACTGGAAAACAAAAATTTTCAGGAAGTGTCATTTATTTGGGTCACAATAAATGCAGTACGATTATTCACCAGCCGCATCCTCCCAAACATACATGCTCACACAACCACAAGCACACTTCCTGAGTGACTTTATCAGTATAAAGTTTAAAAAAAAAAAAAAACTGAACCGTATTGTCATTGCTGTCACAATTACGTAGTGCATTTACTGTAATACACACACAACAGGCATCAATAACGACAGATACCACTGAACTTGACCATGAAGTTCATAAAAATAAATTTACCATCTCACTGCACAAAATTACTATAACATCTATTTCAGGGGGTTGATAAGGTCATTGATCACACCTAAGATGTTGAAATTTCTACTATTACATCCATGCATGAGTGTATTACACAAACCTGGAAACCTGGTCCCTACTTTAAACAGTCTGATAGCATCAAAGCCAGTGCACAAAAATGAACAAGAATTGAAAGTTATGTTTGGTTTTTAGTCTTTTTATAGGTAAGGTATTTTGCTGGAGTTTTATCCAGTAAACAGTTGTCATAATTCAAAGTTGTGATTGGTAAATGTAGGGACACTCAGGCAATGGTCTCATAAATGGAATATTTTTTTTTGTGCTGTGCATATAAGGAAGGTTTTCGTTTTGTTTTTGCTCTCACCTCAAAGGAGAAATTCCACCACTATAAACACAACATGCTGTAATTTGAAGTGAAAAGTTGATTCACAAACAAAACTTGGCTCACTCACAATATTTTAAAAGTGGATAGTTAATATTTTTATTTCCATATTCATAAGAAATAATGAGTCAGTGTGAAACCTATCACTGTCTTCAGAAGCCATGTCTAAGATTAAATAAAGATTAAATGAGTACATTCAGACCATGATTGTGCCTTATATTTAGTCCTTTAACCGCAGCCTCTCATCACCATACAGGAACATACCACATTATTACTGGATTTAAGTGGTTGAGAGGTTTTGTTTTCAGTCACCACACTGACATATAAAATTGCCAGAACATCTACAGATCAAAGTGCCTGTTTGAAAGGAGGTTCCACTAACAAGGTGCTGTAGATATGAAATGAAACAGGATCCTGTAACTCCAGATACTGTTTGGGTTTGAAGGTCTGGAGAAACAGAGCAACATTTTCCTGGTCTTTCTCATGAGGAATTTCCAAATTTTGGACAATGTCGGCCCAACGCATTAACCTTCTGGTTGCTGTGATACATGCGATGGAGAAACACTAAAGGGCTACGGTCAATCTAAGTTTTGAAGCAGCTACATGCCAACAGCAAAGTCAGGGCTTCGTTCCCAATAGTGCTGTAGTGTAGTGAACTTTTTAGAAAAATAGCAGTCAATGCCTACTGCGGCCTCTTGAATCAGAACAGCTGCTGCTCCTCTACTGTCAGCATCAACCTCAAGTTTAAACAGAGCAGCAAAAATGGGGAGCAGCAAGAACTGATGAGCTGCATAAGACAGTTTTCAAAATTTTAAAGACCTGCCCCACGTGTGGAGTCTCACTCCGACTCCTTGGCAGGGCTGACAAGATCAGTCATTGGAGAATAATGTTGGCAAAGATACATCAGAATCTGGATAATCAATAACAGAATTGATCTTGATCGTGTTTTATAACTGTGCTGCATGACATGTTTGTCTGGCATATAATACCATTTTACTAACTTATAACTGCATCTTTTTTAACACGCTGCTCTGCATGTCAGTGTGTTAAAAGTTGGCTGTTGTTGCTTCATGCTGCTTGCATCGCTATATGTACTGAAATAATGTTTGTTGTTGTACTAGTGTCTTAATATTTTGCTGCTTCCAGATTTGCGTTGCCTGTGTTACGCTTTTGATAATTGTCCTTGTTGTTGTTGCTGTCTTCTGTGACGTTGTTGTATTATGATTTAATGGTGTTGATGGTTCTTGAAACATCTCACCTAAGCATTGCAGTTGAAAACTAACCAGCTGGCTAACACTGACACATTTACAGTAATGGTGATTAATGTGCATTGTCCCTAAATAAATAAATGAAATGAAAAGAAAACTCCTGGCAAGAGTATCGACTTAGATGTACCAGTATCCCACAAAATGTGAATGGTTATGGCAGGTCAGACTCTGACATCGCTACAAAACCACCAGTGACAAATGGTTCAAAGCCTGTGGATTCAGAATCCTCTGAGCAGCATGGCTCCTGCTCAGGGTCAACATCAGGGAGCTGACAAGGCAGAGAGCCAATCAGATTTAGCTTTCTACAGGAGGTCATCATGTGCCACCCTGTGCTACTCTTAAGACAGGAATTTGACAATTCTACCTTGTCAGTTAGGTAGAGAACTGGGGTGGCCCCTGGAGCTACCACACAGAAATAATAAATTGATACTGGTCTCTCCAGCAGCCGCCGACTCACTCAACTGGGATTTCCAAAACTACCTCATATGGCAACACATAAATGACGACACTAATCTCAAGCTAAGGGACTAGGTTTAGATCCTTTAGATCCCCATTCTTATGTCACAGCTGGCTCGAACAACACTAGGGTAGACTTTTACTTTATGAATGTTTATTGAAAAAGATGAATAAATAAATGAAAAACATATAAACAAAAACACCCATAAGGTGCTGCTGCAGCAGGGTGGAAAAAGAGAGAGCTGAACAAAGGACCTGCCTACATAGGCTTAGCCCACAAGCCAGCACACTTGCTTGACAGTCAGATGATCAAGCTGGAGCTGGAAACAGGAAACACTAAAACAAAACATGATGAAACACCTTGCCAGGCAAGTTTGTAACAATAAGATGTTACAAGCATATTCACAAACACTTGCCTTGATGTCGGACGAGCTGTTGGTGGCCAGGTAGATATGGAAACTGTAGTTGTTGTTGTCACTCCCCAGCTGCTTGTAGACCAGGACCACCCCATGGCGCTCTACAGACTGGCTCGTCTGTATGATGGGGCCCACGGGTGACAGGGACGTCACATTCCACTTAACATGGCTACCTGAGTGGTCCACTGTCGGCTCAATGCGTGGACAGTTGTCCTTTATGTGTAGGACACTGAATGTCATCTCATTTTCTGGGTCTGTGTGAAGATAACAGAAGGTTTAATCTCTTACTTAGAAGTGCTTTAAACTATGGATACATATTTTTACACAAGATATTCTTTATCAGTGTTTCAAAAAAGACAATTATACTCATTAAAATTAACTACTTTCCGTAAAAATACTCTTAGAAGGGTCATGTCTTAATTAACCCGGGATTCAAGATTTATTTTCATATCAAAATCAATTTGTAAAGTAAGTGGGTGTGTTATATTTAAAAGTTATTTTTAAAAGGTGGAAAAAAAATATATTTTGGAATCAGACTTTCCAGGAGGAGAAAGATCATAATTAAAGCCCTAATGTTCTCACCAGCGAGGCAGAGGCAGTGAGGGAACTGGATGGACTTTAGGACAGACGCATCCTTGTTGATGGTGTCCACATTAAAGATGGGTCCCGCAAACTTCCAGGAGTCCTGGAGGAATGCGCCGAACTTAGACCAGGACAAGACTGAGTACCTTACGAGAACCCGCTCCGATGCTTCAAACACCAGGCCGGTGACAGAGCATTCGTATGTTCCCTCTCCTTCCAGCTGCACCCTACAACACACAGAGTCAGTGACACTGTACAGAATCAGTACGAATGCACTACACAGATGCAATATCACTTACTGTAATCGTCCCTTGGAGATTCTCCTGGGGGTAACAAGCTCATTGCCATGGCTCTGTCAAACACACCAACGCAGGTTATTTATTTGTTTGCACAATTATAACACCATATTAAGAACACCATAGTCACAACATAAAAAACAATCTAAATAATACTATAGGTAGAGAATAGCAAATTCGGAGGGAAGATCACCACCTTTTGCTTCTGAGCTTACCTGATGGATGGCTTTGCATTTTTCACAGCATAGTCTGAATTGCCTCTCATCTGTCACAAAGTATGAAAACACATCTGATGTTATTTACAAGACAGGTGCCACTATCTCTAGTACAGTCCTTGTGCTGTAACATCAGTTATGATCTGCTTACCTTTCCCATTTGAAACCTCTGCTTCAGGTCCAGCGACTGACTCTAAAAAGGAGAAAATATTAGTTCAATATTATCAAATGAAAATCTTTGCACGTTGTGAAGCATTGTGAGTGAGGGTGGAGCACACTCGAATCGAATCAAATTGTGTGAAAAAAGCCAGCAGAGTCCGACATTTTGAGGAATAATTATGTAGTATGGCTGCCATTAGCATGGGGTTGTGGCTGTAGTTATCACTATAACCATAGCAACTATGCAAGCTGACATGGCGGTCTGGATGTTAACAACAAACAAAATGTTTTAAAAAGCAAACCAGTTGCTTAGTCTGACAAGGCAGGTGTTGATATTTTGGGGACACAATGTTGTTTTGCGAGGTGTCTCACCATCTTTAGACTCCTCTGCATCGGTTGCTTCGGCGTCTGCAAAGAACACGACAAACTTAGTGAAACTGTTCTAAAAATGTCCATTCTTCATCTAATTAAACCTTTGACTTATAAAGATTTTCAAGGATCAATTATGGGATGTTATATTTTACCTTCCTCTCCTCCATCCTTCTCAGCACAGGCTTCTGGTGAAAGTCAAAATACAAGAAAAAAAAAACGAGGGTGGTGAAGAGAGATTAATCAAAGGAGTAGTTCAACATTTTGGGAAATATGCTTGTTTGCTTTCTTACTGAGAGTTAGAGAATATCAATACCACTTTAACTCTGGGCAAGAAAGTGAATGAGCAGATTTCCTAAAATTAGAAGCTATTCCTTCTAGGTATGACATGTAATATTGATTGAACTGTGCCTGTCTCTCACCAGACTCCTCATCTTCCTCTTCATCCTCGTCCGAGCTCTCCTCAGTGGACGTTCCAGTGTTCTCTGTTCAATGAATCAATCCGCAAGGGACTTGTGAGAGAGCCGAAAACTTTGTACTGAATTTCCACTGAATGCTAAGTAAAAGCGATTCCATGCCACAATGTTTAAATGTTAAATGTAAAGAAGAAAAACATTTGGATATAAACAAAGGAATCAAATGCCACAGCAAATTGAGCTTGTCTGCAGATGAGTTATGTGGAAAGAACACGTGAGTGTTGGTGAGATACTTGTGCTTACCTGGACTACTGCTGTCACTTTCTGTCAGATTATCTGTAACAGATTAGTAATTGTTTTGAAGTCAGTGCTGTTTGGTCTGTGAAACATGATGTAATATTTCAAAATGTGAAGAAAAAAAAAGTCCTTGTCTTTCCATCTCACTACTGACTACAATCACTATATCACTATGTGACATCATTATGTCACGTTAATTATAGCATCACTGTCATCATTATGGGGACTTCACCGCTTTTAAAAGTTTGATAACATCATTATAATTTTTGTGGTTATTACATTATTATGAGTAGAACCTTATCGCTGAAGTAAAAACAGAAACAAACAGCACCCAATAATCTGTAAAGAGGGAAATGCTGAAAATATTCAGACTGCTTCTTTACTTTCTCACGCTTATTTTAGGAGAGAGAACCTCAGGTGTAGCCACATGGCCTGCTGCTAAACCTGTCTCCATACTTCACAAACAACGTTTAAAACTTTCCTTGCATAAGGAAAGTAATAATAGACGGACTTGTAGATTAAATCGTCTGAAAAAGAAGTACATAAGAGTTTTACCTTTTGTCACTGGGGTTCTTCCTTTAACAGGTGCAGCCCCAGTGCTTTTAGTTTACATCTATGTTTGTGTGCTGTGTTTTTTTTTTTTGTTTTTTTTAAGTATTCGTTCATATTAGTCATCAAAAAAGCCCCCCGACAGCTTTTACATATCCCATCATTCCTTAGCAGCTGAACTGTGGCACCCTGTGAAGAAGCCTGTGATAAGTGCCATGCATTAACATCCCCGCACATTTATACAGATGGGTCCAGAGGAGCTGCTGCTGCTCCTCACTTCCCAGCAGTGAACGTCTGTGGACCGGGCCATCTGGCTAAGTGCCTGGTCCGGCTAATGGATGGAGCCCATCCTCCCTGGCCCACAGAGTTTTATCTTAGACTAACAAGCAGATGCTGCCATCGCTGCTCCCCTCACAGCACCTCCCTCATCAATCTCTCCCTTCCACTTTGCTCAATCCGTCTGCTTCACCTCTCTCTCCACTCACTATCCCCCAATTCTCTCTCCTTGCCCTCATATGCCTCCTATGACCAATCTCCTCCTCGGCTAACGCTGCCGCCGCCTCACAGCTGGGCCAGCAGGCATCTCTCTTCACTCTGGCATGGCCGCTTCCCTTCATCAGACTGACAAACAAGGCGGAGAGCAAACACCCGCACAGATACACGCATCCACATCCACATGTCCACACACACACTTGTTTACAGCTTCAAAGGTCTGAATGCTTCCATGGGTGTTGGCTGCCATCTGCTGGTCTAAAATAATAGCAAAGCCAACAGCATAAAAAAGGTTGATTACAGCAGTGGTTGTTCATCTCGTGGCGTCATTCCTTAAACTCTTAACATTTCATTTTTTCCTCTTAAGCAGCTGTTAAAATCATCTGATTGTATTATACGTATTTTGTATTGGCTTGTTCCAGCTATCAATATTGAAACCTAAGACTTGATGTATTTTTTTGGCCTTTATTTGACAGTCAGCAGTGAAAGGTTGTGACATGTAACAAAAGTCCAGGTGGTCGATGCAGTCATGTGGCATGCGATGTAACCATTTGGCCACCAGAGTGTTCTGACTTCATGGTTTCACGGCTGCAATTTTCCATCAAATGGAAAAATGTAATTTGTCTTGTGAATATTTTATTACATATTTCCCCAAAATTCAGCCTGAAACATTGGTATCTCTCTAGAATTTTAAATAAATATATGCAGATTTGAACAGTGTGGTTGCATAAGCAAATAATAAGCAAATAAAAATTATCCCAATGAGTTTCACAGTGTGGTATACAAGTTTTAAATTAAATAAAAATAATTGAGTTCTACAATTAGATCTTAATTGGCAGTACCAGTTGTTGTATTTTTATTTTTATTTAATCAGTATCAGGAGAGAAAGTCACATCACGGCACTTCTAATGTCCTCTCCTATGCCCATCTATATCTCTTTCTTTTTTGGCACTTTATGTGAATAATTTTCTGAGCCCTGAATTCTCAAACTATCTGGTAACTCACAGGGAAAAAAGTAAATATTCGATTGAAAAAAAAACAAAAAAAAAAACAGAATTTTGTGCACTGGTGAGCAGTGTTAAAAATAGCAAATGCAAAACTGGAGACACAGGTAATCGTGTGACTGTGCATAAATCTTGCTGCCCTTTAAGGCAAATGATATGGAAATCAGGGAGGCCAGAGGAGAGGAGAGGGAAGTGGGAGACAGAGCAGAAGTAGATAAAAATAATAGATGGAAATACACACTTTTAAAATATTAAGAAAGTGGTGGGGGAGGGACATAGCAACGCTACTGTATAAGAAAACAACACAAACACATGTAGCCCCACATGTGCTCTGTGAGAAACTGAAAGGAGAAGCTGTGGGTAGGAGGGGAGGAATGAAAATGGGTTCATGTTTACCTTTGTTTTCCAGCGCAGGGATATCTCCGTCTCTGTAGGGCAGAAGAGATAACATTCAGACAACTATAAATCACAATGCGGATTCATGTGGGGGATGTCTGCAATGTGTGATGAAATTTATGGAAGAATTTAGCAGTTGAAAGTGATGGCTCTTAAAATCGTGCAGCTGCAGGCTCTTGTAGTAGACAACTTCTGCTTTTGAATGAATGAGAAAAACAGGAAATGTGAACAAGCTGTCTGCATCTCACTTTCTCACACTAATGACACCAGCCCATCCTGTCAAATGATAGATTCACCTTTCCACCAAAACTCACACTCTGATCCACTTTCTGAGCAGTGTCGATGATGCAGGAAACCAGCCATGGAAAGATACTGGCTAGATACTTTTGCCATTTTCACAAAACTGGTCCCAGTCGTGTAAACACTTGTGCTGCTTCCATAAGTCAGCATCAGGCACGGCGGATAAGGCTGGACAACGATTCAGTTGTGAGTAATTGGAAGTTTTGTTTTACACAAATGAAAAGGTTTGTCAAATGTAAAGCACGACAGAGGAACACACTGAATTGTATCAAACATCAATGTGATTATTTTTTCATATCATTTTGCAAATATCTGCCATGTGACATCAGTGTCAAAGAATATTCTTGTTTTATTGTGATACTAGTTTTAATGACGTCACCCAGCCCTGCACAGCAGAAATCAATAGCAGTTCTTCCTGACTATTCAGCTCTATGAATCTTTTGATATCTGCTTGACTCATCCAGGAATGTAGTTTATCAAACAATGAGCCAAGTCCAAGTGCAATAGTTTAGATGTGTCTGAGCCGAGGACTGGCTTGGACGAGATACAACACGCCTGACATCCGTCTGGGAGAAAACACAATGTAGAGCCAACCCCACAAGAAGAACCAGTTCACCACCAGCAGGAGTGAAAAATTAGGTCACATCTCACCTTCTGTCTTTTGCTGTTTCTCTCCCTCAGTTGTTATTGTGCAGAACTGGCTGATCAAAAGCAAAATGATGCATCAGGAAATTAGGATTATTAAGCCTGTCCAAAGAGCAGTCTTTTATTTGGCGTCTGTTAATCAAGATAAGGCACTGTGGTTTCCTTTGTTTTCAAACATCTGTTCAGGAAATAGTGTTTTCTTCTACTCAAGGTCAATTCGTTCACGGCTCTGCCTGAGTCACACTACAACACATGGCCCATTAGTTGCCATGGTAGTCATCTTATCCTTTGAACAAAATTTGCTTTTTCATTACTCTAATGTTTTCAGACAATGAATAAACTCCCTGCACGAGTTGTCACAACTTTCTCTGCTCTAACTTGTTTCTATTTTCCGCCTGTGAAAACACGGTAACAGAATCTTCTGTGAGGGTCTCGCTTTGTCTCTGGTTCAAAGATAAAGGCCACAACATTTACATGCTTTCTACAACCTCCCATAAACACCATGCAGAGAGGGGACATCTGTGGTTAGATAAACAACTGTCAGTTAGTCTGTATCTACTACACGGGCAAAAAAAAAAAAAAAAACTGTTGACCTTTGATACCTCTACTTATTAATATTATACCTGACTGATTTCAAAACGATGATCACACTGGGTCACAATATACCTTTATTCAAATCGTGACCTAGTAAGCAAATGATGTCCTGCTAGTGCCACTGCTTCTCAAATAAAGTTATCATGACCTCTAACTACTTGCGTGTCCCACAAGACCATTAACTTCTGACTTCACTGAACATTTTCATAGGTTGTAGACCAATGTTTGCAAAAGCCTGGGTTGTATTGTACAATCAGGGACTTTCCCAGCCCTCATTGCTAATGTTACCCAGGCAACAACACAATACAATGAGATATCACTGTCACCTCACCTGTCTGTGGTCACAATACAACAGGGAATACATATTGTATATCTATTGGGGAGATTGGTATGAAACATATGGAGATTTTCCTCTGATTTTAAAGATATTTTAAATAGGACTGCATGTTGGCAAAGTGTTTTCATAGCATCGATATTATGAATGAAAAACTGAAGGCATACATGAAAGTTATACATGCATGTAGCCCAGTGTATGATGAGGTTACATCGACATTAACACATATGGTGACTGTTAATGCGTCTCTATATGGATTTTTGTTTATCAACCTACATTTTGATGTAATCTAGCCCGCTGCTCACTTACAACCGTGTCTCCTACATGATGACACATTGTCAGTGAGTCATCACAATGTAACAACACAGCAGCGTGCAGCGCGGAGAGGCACAAACAAAGAGATCATAACTCTTTTTGTTTAAATGCTATCTAGCTGCAATCTACGTCCAGTAAGTACCAGGAAGCAATCACCGATTTGTTCATTTTTCTTACAAATGCACAAACACGCGAGCCCTTAACCGACTGCAACAGAGGACACCACTTCCTGTGTTGCCGCAAAGGGGCTTTAGCGCCTCATCCACAGCAGGCATCGTGTTGTCCAGTGTGCGCGCAAAAACACAAACACTGACATGAATCCAGAGGTCATAACTTTTCTCTGCATCATAGTGACATAACAAAAAGTCTTACCCGTCCTCCAGGTGACAAGCCGCGCCACAGCTCGCCATCTCTGCCACCATCCTCCCTCCTGTGTAATCAGACCCCGTTATACTTTCTGTTTTGGCACAGCGTGCGGCGGCTGCGCGTGAAAGCACCTGGAAGGTAATATGGTCCTATCATTGACTGTCGGTGTCGCTTTAGAGCGCTAAACAGTAATTGGCGCAGTAATGGTCATCGGAGCCCTCGTGGCTAAACAACAACTACTTCATATCACTTTTCCCCTTGGACGCAGCATCCCTTCGTCAGCACAACAAAACATTTGGATTTGACATAAGAACCGTTCATTGCTTCCAAAAGTCAAAAAGAAAACAGCCAGCGAGGCCTTTTTTGCAGCGGAGATGTGGATGTATTGTTTCCTCTCACAAATACTGTGCTTGTGTGCAAGCAGCAAATCACATCGCAGATCTTAACATTACGGCGTTCAATACTACGTGTTTCTTTGTACAAGGCGTATTTTTCAGGATCAACGGCGCTGCGCCGCAAATGCGCAGCACATGAAAGCACACCAATGAGCGCGTGGGCGGGGTATAGCATCCCGCCTTAACATGGGCTGTACTCTGTATTCAGTCATGTCGAAGATTTACACTGGGACTTTTTAGTGTCTTTTTTTAAAATCAGGGATATCAAGAATACTACTGTAGGAAGTCAGTGATAATGAGATATTTGCTGTTACATATTAGGCTATACAAAGCATGGTGCTTGTTTGGAGTAATAATAGGAGAAAAAGAAAAACAATTAACATTTTATATTTTATACATACAGGTTTACATAGGCTAAAGTATGTGATATGTTCTCCATTTTGTATAACTAGGTTACATGCAGTCAAAGGTTTGTCATAAAATTAACAATTTAAATAAAGTATAGAGGAAAAGGGAGTTGATGAATAGCAAGCAAAAAGGGTATTTTTGTTTGCTCGGCTTTCAAAATAAGATATCCGCATTAACCTGAGAGATTTTTGTTAGCTGCACATTTTTCTCCCACACAGAAAAGGAGCTGGCAGCACTCCACAGTGCAAGTAGGCCACTTTGAGCGGGAAAACATGTACATCAGATTAGCAGGCTGCATTATAGAAAGGTACCACCAGATGTCACATCAGACAACAAAAACAACTCAACAACAAAACCATGCCTCTGCAAAACATCCTTTCACTGGAGACACATTCAGATTAGATTCATGTGTTTGACATGAGGACTGATCAGAGTGTCAATCGCATAGTTAAAATGAAATGTTTAAGGAATCAAAGCAAACCAGTATCTGTCTATGGCATAAGCTCACTGAGAAAGGGAGCCGAGGAAGGGAGGGAGAGCTCTCTGTGAGTGTCTGAGATGTCCAGTGGGAGGAATGAGTGAAGGATCAAGGGCTTTCCTATTGATCTTCCACTCATTGATCTGTTCCCTTTCTCCACTCTCCATCCACCTGTCCAACTTTCATGGAGTGATATGTAGTTTGGAGACAGGAGAGAGGAGAGAGATAGAGAGAGAGAGAGAGAGAGAGAGAGAGAGAGAGAGAGAGAGAGAGAGAGATGCCGCAGACTAACAGGGACATTATCCAAGTCTCAAAGTCTAAAGGGAGAGATCAGCTCCTCTGTGCAAGAAGAGACAGCACAACATAAGACTCCGTGGCGAGATGATATCCCCAATACTTCAGGAAATGAGAGGAGATGAAAAGAGGAGAGAAAAGGGAGAAGAAGACAGGGAAGGACAAGAGGAGAGGAGAAGGTGGAAGGCAGGAGAGAAAATGAGAGAAAAACATTAGGAGACACGAACAAGGAGAAGAAGAGAAGGGAAAGAGTTATTCTAGTCACTTAAAATATGAAATTATCAGAGCTGGAGACTTTAAACACGGACTCAATTCGGGCTTGAGTTGTAAAAATGAGGAATTGAGACTGTTTAGATTCACCTGTCTCTAGACTTGACTGTGGACTTGACCTCAGATCAATAAATGTTTAACAAGACTAAGAGTTTCAGCTACAGCAGCTTTGTGGTGCTTCGGCACAGCGGTGCTTTAAGCTAAATGCTAACACATCTTAGTTTTACATATTGGGCAAATTAAAATTTTGACCTGATGATGGAACTAGAAGTAAGGTTATGCCAGTTCTCAACAAAACTTTATAGTAATGAATCTAACAGTTGTTAAGACACTTTACATCAACGTCATGACAGCACTAGAAGAGCAGTCAAGAGTTCATCAAAGTCCATCCTCTGAGAACCATGAATGTTTGTACCAACTTTATGGCAGTCCATCTAGTAGATATACAGTATATATATACTGTATATATATATATATATATATATATATATGTATATATCATTCCTTTAGAGCCACCACTTAGCTGATGTTTTATATATATATATATATATAAATATATACTGTATATGACATATTTCACTAAATAAGAAAAAACGTCAGCTTAGTGGTGGCTCTAAAGGAAAAGTCAGAGGATCACCAAAGTTACCAGGATTCATTAGCTGGGGAAAATTTCATCTGAATCCATCAAGTTGTTGAGATATTTCAGTTTGGACAAAAAAGTGGATTGACCAACTATCCAACAAGTGACGGACAAACATTGTTACCTACGGAGCAGTGATGTTGTTAGCATCACTGAAAATGTCGAGTTGCTATTTCACTGACGTAGAAATGCTTTGATTCACTGTATCCAACTTTTAAAAAAAAAATCAATTGTGATTTTGGCTGTTGTACTGCTGCAAATAGCATCCTAACCATTAAAAGGAAAGACTTGCATTTTTCCAGGTCTCCCATCAGCATCTTCAGTCTTGACTTGGACTCAATTCAAAATACTTAAAAACCACCCTGGAAATTATACATATCTCCCCTGTGTTATAATCATAAGAAAGATTCATTGAGATGTTTTTAAAGGTCTTTATCAAAAGGAAACTGACTTTGCCTCTGCTGTGGCTCCGTTAAAAGTCCTTCACAAATCGACAAACCTGTTTGGAAACGATGATGTCACACACCCTAGAGGGTTAATATGAGCCCTCATTGTGCAGACTCATTATCCACCACATACACACACACTTAGAATAGCACACAAACACACAAACACACACACACACGCACACACACACACCACCACCACCACCACCACCACCACATAGGGAGGAAGAAAACCCATACCTCTGTGCTCAAACATTCCCATTATAACATACATGTATTCTCTCTCTCTCTCTCTCTCTCTCTCTCACACACACACACGCACACATACACACATACAGATGCACAAAAGGTGTCCTCTTACTCTGGAGATGAGGAACGCCATATCCTTTCAATTTCAATGGGCCATTTTGCCATCCGGGCTGAGTTATCACTGGAAAGATCCATCCTAACAAAAGAGTCATGCCTGCTGCAGCCCTGCATAAAGACGCTGGAGAGAGGACAAGGACAAAAGGACAAAGGACAAAGAGCAACACCTTTGCATAGAGAAAATGGGAGAGAGGCTCTGGAGATCGTCCAGCTATGAGGGATTTCGGTGGCAACCTCATTCAATCCCATGCAACAGTATAATGTGTAATGCATAGGCCTGAGCTCTAAAAAAAAAAATAAAAAATCTTTCCTGTACAGTCAATATGATGACCTTACTTTATGAAAGCACAAAAACACAAAAGCAGAGTGGCGTTGATCTTCTCAGATACATGGTTTTGGAACAACAAGGGAAAAAAGTTTTGCTAAGTGTGATTTGATTTAATAGCTGACAACTCTTGTGGATTCAAACACTTGTGACTTCACTCATTACCGCACACCCCCGTTCCCTTTGATTTCATTCTCAATATCTGAGGCCTGTTTTTGTTTGTTCTTTATCTTTGTTCATTTTGTTGTTTTTCAGCATTCACATCATGGGTTAAGATGTTTTATGACTCCTTTGGTTCCTTGGGTTTTTTTTTTTCCATCTCACCCACACTGTTCACTGTTTTCAGTGCATTGTGATCTAAATGAGAAAACATTAATAAAGTTTTTAATAATCACAGTCTGGACCACAGTGGTAGGCCAGTTGAGCAACTTGACATTATCCATCCCTAGAGTGCTGCCTGCAATGCAAAGTTTGACCATTTAAACCTCAATATCCCTAATATTCACTTATTGTCTTGCTTATCTTGCTGCACCACTATATTGAGTGAGAAAATGTACCTCATTTATACATATGCAATGTTTTATATTTTTGGAATCTTCACAACAATCTAAAGTAAAGCTTTAAGGGTTTGACCAATATCTGTTTGCACAGGATAAGTTGGTAATGACGGACCTACCAAAGTCAAAGAGGTAAAGCCATACAATACAGTGGTTAAATTACGTATGTTTAGAGATTGTGGAATGTGTTCTTTGCCACAGATTTCAGATTTCAGTTTGGTATTGTGTGTAAACTGTGTGTTTTCTGAGATGTTAGGCACATCTGTCCTTGATGTTGTGAGTGTTTGGATTTGACACCTACACAGTCTTACTAAGAAGGTCTTGGGACTCTTTCATTGTTCCCTCTTTCACCAGAGGGGACTGGCCTTAATTGCTGTGCATTTTTTACATGTTAACAGATTTCCTGTCTCTGGACATCCATAAAACGGGATAGTGGGACGTAACACAGGGATGGAGGCCATGATTTAGGCGACAAAGGGGAAAAAGAAAGGTTAGTGTCTGCACAGTCCCTGGGAAATTTGGATGCAAGTCCTTGAGTTGACTATCTCTGTGGCCCTCTCCTCACATTAGTTTACACCCTCATATCTCTTACACAAACCCTCTACTTATGGCTCTATATTATGCTGTATAATGAGTGTTGTGTCATGGCCTCTTTCTCTTTCCCGCTTTCTCTCTGTTTTGTTGATTCCTCATTTCAGAGCCCTCAGGAAACTCTGTGCATTCATGGCCCACAGAGGGACCAGCCTTGGGATGTAATGTGGGCGTTTGGTAGGAGGGACGCAACTGAAGGCCATAGTCTAGTCACCTTCTGAGACGCAGACACCCCAACCCCCCTCTCCTTTTCGAGTGACTCAGCGGAGTAGTGCGGAGGCAGGGGGTCAAAAATCCCCTGCCCTCCGCCTCCACTCAAAACATGTGGGAATGGGAAAACTTCATCCTATATTTAACCTCCAGGTGTCTGTCTGGTGTGAGTGTATATGTATGAGAGACCCAGGAACTGACTCATCTGCAGCTGGGTGTTGGTAGACGGGTTATCTAATAGGGAAAAATGAAGTTGCCCTTGTTATTTGAGTTGGTTGGGGGCTTTTAGCAGTCTAGGAAAAGCTGTGTCTGCCCCCTAATGCTACACAGTCACCTCGCTCCAATGAAAACTTTCCC